CCTCACTTTCTCTAGCTCTTTGTCTCCCCCATTTCTTCTTTCACTCACGCATATCTCTTCTTCGTTCTTTTGCCAAATCTGCTATTATCACATTTTGCTAATCGCATTTCTTCACATTAGACTTCAGATTAATGTCATGTTCCATAGAACACCCAATGAATTCTTATTGAAATACTTCTCATTCTTTTCATTTTCTTCCGATAGAGTATCTAATCATTCGGCGCTCAGGCAGCGTTCGGCACACCCGATTGTCATCGATTTGAAATGACATTTAATAGAGTTATGTAGTTGATTAGCCGAGCTGAGAGTGCTAATAGATTATTGTATGATTATTCAGTTCTTTGATTTGGCTTTTGGTCCCATCACCTTCCAACTCCAAGCAAAAAAATTCATCACATGACGAGAATGGGCTTATGATCCGAATGAAATTAGATAATGCTTGGCCAAATAGAAAGCGACTCACGGGACGGACGGGAGGGAGTTGCAACCTGCTGGCACTCATAAAGCATAAACTGAGCGAGGCAAGGTGTCATGTTTATTACAACAGTTTGTCACAGCTCTGACGTCAAATGGCTTCGAATTGGACTCGACTAGTCGTATGTCCAATTGGATTCCAATCTGTGGGGTTTTGCCCACGCGCCGCATTTGACGCCGTGGGAAAAACTTGTTTTTTTGGGTCGATAAGTCGGATGCGGATTTCAGTGGCGAGCCAATGCGTGGGCCTGAGTCAGCAGCCAGTTCAACATTCTCTCTATATGTATATGCAGAGAGAGAGGGAGAGATAGACACATTGTCGGCCCTGAGTCTGGGTTCCGTTTCACTTTTCAAAAAGTTTTCGACAGCTTTGCTAATTTGCTGCTAGCTGCTCTGTGCTTCGCGCTTTGCACTTTGCGCTTTGCGTTTGTCTTCAAGAATTTCAGCTATGCAGTTTAGTGTCGTTTCACACGTAGCTACGCAGCTCGCAGATACTTAGATGCAATTGCAATTGCATCTGCATCTGCATCTGCATCTGCATCTATGTATATGCTTGTCTCTCGGTCTGTTTGTTTGTTTGCTTGCTCTTGTGCTTTGTTTATCTCGCGCCTCTTGAGTTTGCGCTTTTGTTTTTGGTCTCGCGCACGAAATTTTCACCGCGCTATCGATGAATGAATGCTGCAAAAGGGTGGGGCAGGGAAGGGGGCGGCAGAGCTGTGCATGGGAGGGGCCACTGCATTGCGATAAGCGATGAGTGTGCGGAGTTCCCTTGGCGCATTCTTAACTATTGTTGTTGCCGCCTGTGATTCACTCGCTCGCACTTGCAGCTCGCAGTTCGCATTTCGCATTTGCAAATTGCGCTGGTTAGGCATTCTTGCTATTGCTGCCTGCTGCTGCTGCTGCTGCAGTCGCTGCCTAGGTCGACGCTGGCGTTTGGGTGTCGTAATTTGCCGCTCGCTTTGTGCTTTGTGTGAAATATTCACGTGCAGACAACAACGAACAAAGTCGTCTTGCTTTAGCAGCCTAGCTGAGCATGTGCATCTAAAACATGCAGTCAAATGTATCTACACTGGCCGAAAAAATGCAGTGGATATCCTCACTTCTTATAAGCATTGTCTTCCCATATATGTAAATCCTCAGATTTCTGATTGAGCTCTGATATTTATAAAACAATTACCGTTATTATTATTAAAATAACTTTCATACCCAGTTCGAGCCAATATTTTCGCCAAGTGCATTTGCTAAAAACATTTGTCTTGCAAAAAAAAAAAAAAGCAGAAATGAAAACACTTTTCCTGTTTTGCCTTTTTTACCCACATTTATTTCGTGTGCTGCACTTCCGCAGTCGCTCAAGCTGCTCTTCCTTCTCCTCTCTCCCCCCCTCTCTCTGTCTTTCTCTCTCTCTCTCTATATATATATATCCCTCTCTCAGATGCGATAAGCAAGTTAAAAGGAAAGAAATTTGCCGCGTTCTGTGCCGCGGCTGCTCTCGCTTCACTTTTGGCATAAACATTTCCTAAACTTTTATCTAATTCAAGCAAACTGCATTTCGTAAGATTCCCAAGACATATTTTCCACATTTTCCGAGCCATTGTTGCTGCCTACTTCTTCTTCTGTCGCTGTGGCTTCTTCTTCTTCTTCTTTTGTTTCTTTCGTGTTGCAACTTTTCACATCGTTTCTCTTTGGGTCTCTTTATCTATTTGATATTTTCACGCTTCTCTTCTCCTTCAGCGTCTTCTCGTTTGACTTTGATTTGGCTTTGTTTTGGTTTCTTGCCAGACGCAGACTCGCAGGCGGCGACGTTTTGCTCTTATGCAAGAGCTTAAGGTGAATTTATGAAATTCCCTAAGCATAAAGTGCCCTAATTTATTAGCTCCTCAAATGGCTGGAACAATGTCTCGCATGGGCGCAAGCAGCGGCTGTTAAGCGACGCTTAAGGCATTTCATTTAGTGTCTCTCAAGGTCTTTAACTATGCAAATTAGTTGACCTAAAGTTAGAAGCAATTAACGCGCTTCGCTAGTTCTTCCAAATATATATTATTATACATATATATACATCAGTTAAAAGGGGTCAGCTCAGGTCTCTCTCTCTCCCTCTCTCTCTCTTCTAGTTCTAGTTCTAGTTCCAGTTGTTTTTTTTTTTTTTGGCACTTGAAATGGGTTTTTCTTTTCACACCTCAATGTAAGAAAAAATCAACCAAAAAAAAGCAAACTTGACATAATTACAAAAAAACAGAAACAAATTTATATTTTTACAACAAAAATAAAGAAAATGCAGTGCGTACAATTTTTAAAAAAGTAGCAAACGCTTGAAATTTTATGCGTTTTTTTCGCATAAGCAACTGAGGCCCCCAGAGATAATCGCTTCAGGTCTCGCGCCTCTCTCTTTCGCTCTCTGTCACTCTCCTAGCCTAGTCTTTGGCAGGCCGTGGAAATTCAAGGCAACGCGTCGATCATCGTCGTGTGTCGTCTCGACGGCATTCAGCTCCCCGCCTCCCCTTCATTACCAACTGGTCTGGTGTTGTCTGCTCTGCTCTTGCTCTTGCTCTGATGTCATGGGTGCTTATAAGCATGATATATGGCTTTATAGCTGTTGCTGTTGCCGCTGTAGCTCAGCTGCTGTCGCACGCAAAATTTGCATGCACTTTTAGCAGACTGCTGGGGGAACAAAGCGGCGTTAAGACCAGGCGCTGGCCACGCCTACGCCCCGCACACGCCCACCAAGGCAGTTAAACCTTGTAAATGAATGAAACAATAATTTAATGAAAAAAACACAAACAACAACAACACCAAGAGCAATAACAACATCAGCAACAACAATGTTAAACGGCAGCAAGTCAATAAAAAATACTTTAGTGAATGAATAAATAAATCAATAAACCAAAATGTAAACAAATTAAACAGTAAAACAAAAACATAAATACTTATGTTGAATACATTTTTATTTATTTTTTTTTTCCATTATTTTGATCAATTGTTGGACAAACATCAATGCCGAAATCAACTACAAAGAGTACAAAGTGTATAAAAGGGGAGAGGCTTACGTAATAATAATAATGGAACTATATGAGATGAAAGTATAAACGAGGGAACAAGTCAGGCAACAACACTGAGATATGAGCAGAGCTAATACTAATATCGATAATAATACATACACAAATAAAGACTCTTCTAATGATAATTAATAGTTAATCATTCAACCCTCTCAATTCTACACTTTCAATAATTTGGCTGTGAATGATTATTGCTTGGTGGCTTGGCCTAGGATCTCGTCTAGCTGTGATTTTATCTGCGAGCTCTTGCAACGATTTTGGCTACGTGCTGCTGCGTGTCGCTGCCCACGCATCCCATTCAAGAAATTGGTATTCAAACCCCATTCCGAGGAGCCGAGGGGAGGCAGGGAGCAGCCTCTGTCGCAGTCGCAGTCGCAGTCGCCGGTCCTTCCTACACACAGAAATGAGATGTGTGTGCGGGCAAAAGCTTTTTGAATTTAAATTTAGGCTGCCAGAAGAGTTGAATGAAACGAAACAAAAGAAAAAGAAAAAGAAACCCAGATCGAACTCGAGCAACGGAATCAACAGCAAATGGAAATGGAAATGGCAAGCGCAGCCACAAATTGGCCAAGTAGCACTTGGCCGCACAGATAAAGATACGAGATACAGATACAAAAATAGCTACGAGTATTTAACTGCCGTGGCGCGGCACTAAAACGAAATTAGATCGACAACCCACATTCATAATTCAATAAGTAAATAAATACGAATCGAAGCCAAATGAACTGCGTGCCTGAGATTTTATCGAGGCTCGCGGGTCGAGCCAGTTGGACTCATTCATAAAAAAGCACACACACTCGGACGCAGACTCGGACACTTTTCGGGGCTGCTGGCAGTAAACCCCAAGCGAGACGCAGCCCTGAAATGCAGCAGAGCGGCGCAAATGCAAACACAGCATAGAAAAACAGGCTGCGCTGTTTACGTTGCGTATACGCAATGTGTCGCACAGGATGTAAGCTGCAAAGCATGCTGTGGCATGCTTCCACATAGAACTGCACACATAATGCAGAGAGAGAAATGAGAGTTTACCAATTGTGAATAATTTTGAATATAATATAATACTCGTACGACTCAGAACAAACCTCTAGCCAAAATGAAAATATTTGCATCGAGAAACTTTGCATTTGATCAGATTTCCTTCAGAGTTTTTCTGATTCTACTGCAATTTTCATCAACTCGATATTTACTTCTTCTTGCTTCACACTTTAACTCCACAAATTTCAATGCATAAACTAATCATATATCAATTTATGATTCCGCCTAGTCCTTAGCACACTCCAACTTGAGTTTCGACCAAACTTTTTCGCTCAGTGAGCTCTGGATCAATTTACAGCTACAACTGTAATTTTTCGGGTCCGCAGCTGTTCAATGCCGACGCAGCTACAAAGGCGAGCTCTAAGCTGATGGATTTGTGTGTGCTCAAATGCGTGTGTCTGTGTGTGTGTTTGCGTATGTGTGTGTGTTGACACTCACCAATGATGCTGACAAGTTACTGCCGACTGCCGACTGCCGACTGCGGACTGCACACAGTTGGCACTGCTTAATGCCGATGCTAACGGCAATCGCAGCGATGTGGGGATGGCCGCAGCTAGAGCCGCTGAATGTATCTTGTATCTGGGGGATTCGCTTGATTCATTGCCCGCTGCCTGGACACATGAAGCACTGGCCGCGTGTCCTTTACGGCTAAACTTGCGTTTGACTTTTTCTTTGCTGTGGTGCCGTTAAGCGTCGCCGTTTGCCGTTAGTCGTTTGCCTTTAGCCGTTAGCCGCTGCCCGTTGCAAAGTGCCGTTCACTACTGAGCTCGTTTTTTATGCGCTCCGATACTTTTATAGATTCGCAATGTGCCTCGAAGCGGCGTGGGGCGCGGAGTGGCGTGCAGGGGGCGCCGTTAGCCAGGAGTGACTGTAGCTCAGGGTAGCGCACTTTGTTAGTGTTTTCTGTTTTTTTCCTTCTTTTTTCTTTTATTTTGTTGCCGTTGCCTTGCACCCCTTTTTAGCCGGCCGGTCAGCCAGTCAGGCCGTCAGGCAGTGAGCAACCACCCAAAAGCTCGCCTTGCAACCCCTACCACGCCTACATTTGGGCGACCGCTGACGAACTTGTTCGATGTGGTTCGAAGCACGTTGCCATGTTGTCAGGTTGTTTTGGCCAATACAACGGTAAATGCAAAGAGTGTGTGAGGAAGAGAGAGCGAGGAGGAGAGAGGGAGCAGGAGGCAGCGAGCCAGGAGCCGGTTTCGGTGGCAGGTGCACTCGCTGCGTCCAGCTGATGAGCAGCGGCAGCAGCAGCAGCCACACAATTAACGAGTCTCATTACTCAGCGACCTGCAGCTGACGCTGCCTCTAGCAACGCTCACATACTGCTCCACACACACACACACACACACACCCTCTAAGCCTCATGCATTGGGGTCAGCCGCTTGTCGCTCATTTGACGATTAATAACAATAATCAGCAACAGCAGCAACAACAACAACAACAACTACAACTACATTTATCGCGATTATCAACAGATTTTCGAAATGGAAAATGGAAAATTGTCGATGCTTTCCCAGGCTCGCGCTTTGAGCAGCTGGCAGCGAGCAGCCGAGAAAAATTAGCCAACATAAGCGCCATCATTGAAATTGAATTCAATTCAATTCAATTCAATTTGATTCTCTTGCAATGCGGTTTGGCAGTCATCCCTCATCTAGCTAATAAGCAAATGGAAACTCCGACAAACTCGGCCCCCGCCTCCTGCCTCAGGCCCTGCCCCAGCCCCTACCTAGAGCTGACACTTAATTCTGCACTCGAATCTCAAATCAAATCTATTGTAAAACAGCAAACAACATCAATGAATGAGACAGAGAGAGAGAGAGAGAGAAGGCCCTTCCCCTCCAACTGCAGCGGCCCTCATCAGCTGTCAGCATCAGCATCAGCATCAGTTGATGTTGTTTTCTACTGTTGCCTCTGCTGTCGCTTGTGGCATTCGGCAGCAGGCGAAACATATCGAATTATATGCGATTTGTGTTAACAAGGCGCCTCGATTTAATCAGCCCGATAGCCCACATGAAGTATCTGCCAGATACAAAGCAGCCAAATGTTAATAGATACTTTTCGCTGTTCGCTGCTCTTGTCGAAAAGGTCAAAGGACGAGGCGCAGCGTGAATGCAGCTTGACAGTGGAAAGAGTTTCAAAGTTGTATAAATGATTGGGACAAGGAATTGAAATAAATCAAAATTTGAATATTACATATAAATTGACGATAATAGAAAGTATATATACGGGGAAAAGTAACAGAAATTGATGTGAAGGAGAAAATTCAATTAAAATTAACAAATATTTGTTGATAGTTTGGAAAATATTCTCTCCCTCATTCATACACTGCGCGATATTAGCGTAGCAAACCAAATTATATTACTATATAATATACATTTCTCTTATTATATATATACCTCTCTTCAAACTACCATCACCGATCTCTCTGCAAACTCAATTATACAGCTAAATTATATACAAATTGTTGTAAACTTATCACAAATGAACAAAGACTATGCGCATAATTTTCTCAAGCACTCTCACAAACAGTTGCTTACAAAAGTATTTTACACCAAAGACAATTAACAAAGTTTGTTTTTTACTCTTACTTTTGCACTCGCCAACCAAAATCGAAAAGAAAAGAAAAGAAAAGAAAAAAGCGAGAGAAAAAAGCGATAATAAAAAGCGAAAAGCCAAAAGCGTTTATGCCCCAGAGGGGGGAGGGGGCGTGGCTGGCGATTAGACGATTTTGACGCACAAAATATCCGCAACATAAAAGAATCCAATAAAAAGTGATTACGTGCGGACGGCGCAGACTGTGGGTGGAGTGGAGAGGCGGAGGGGGAGTGGGATGGTGAGGGGACAGGTGTGGCCGAGGCAGACGTCTGCGGCTTGCAAATCAAAACAGATGTGCGACACGCCAACAACAACAGCAGCCACAACAACAACAACAACAACAACAACAGCAGCAGCAAAAGTTTGCAGCAGATACAAGATACAAAGATCCACGAGATACAAAGATACAAGATGCAAAGATAGAGGCGAAACCGAAATGAGATACGAGCTGTGAGCTGCTGGTTGTTGTTATTGTTGTTGCTGCTGCTGCCTGCTCGTGCCACAACGGGCCAACAACAACAGGCGACGGCTGGGCAAAAGTAACTGTGCCACAATTTGCCGCATATCCTGCAGGAAAGGCTGCCAAACGGGAATTGTGCAAGGATTTGCAGCAACCGAAAACGAAGAAGAGGAAGAAAAACTGGTTGGCCGCATCGCTCACCTGCCGCATGTTCAGCTAAACTGCGTCCCTGCCACATGCCGCATGACTCAAATTACGCTTCCTTTTTTTGTTGTTTTTGTTATTTCTTTTTTTTTTTTTTGGTGGGCGCAGCGCTTCAGCTTAGAATAATTATGGAAGCTTCCCTTGAGCGCTAGCTGCTTCCGCTCACTGCGTGCGTGAGAGAGAGAGAGAGCACACTTGAAGAAAGAGCCAAGTACTTTGGCTGAGCTGCTGACTAAATGCAAAACATTTTGAGGTAAGAGTGAAGTGAAGATTTAAGACTGCAGCTGGAATATGTTTAAGCCTCTTGAGCAATCTTTTAAGAAAAAGTGCTTTAGCTTACAGCAAGATTTAGCTTTTCATATTATTGCAAATTAATTTTAAATTCTATCTCATTGTAAACTCTTTTTTTTCCAATTTGAAACATCTTTCTCTCTCTCTCTTCTCTTTCTTGCAGTGTAGCCGACAACCACGACCACAGCCAAGACCGCGACAATAGTGCAGCACACGCTGCAGCAGCAGAGGCAGCGACAGCGGCAGGACACAGCTGCAAATATCGCCAATGTCAATGTGCGATTCGTCGCCAGACGCCGCTGCACGTTGGGCATACAAAGCAGCGACGGCAACGGCGACTGCGGACTGTGGTGGCACGAAAAACGGAAAGTGCTGTAAGTTTTATTGAGAAATCCGACACACACATGCACTCTCACACTCACCACTCAGACAGACGCGAGCCTAAAGGAAGCGGCTAAAAGAGCCACAAGAACCAAAGAATGCGACGCTTGGCGCATAACAATGCCTGCGCCAGGCCCCAGTGTGCTGCGCACAGTGGAACCGTTGCAGTCGTCAGCAAATTGGCCCTCTGTGCTAACTTGGTCAACAAAGTGGCCAGACAAAGACAAGGCACAACTAATCACAATAATACAACAAATAATACAAAGAGAGCGACAGCTCCCTCTCTCTCACGCTCGCTGTCAAACACAACACATGTGCGAACATGTTGGCAGCGAGCTCTTATACGTCGCAGCAGCGAACAGCTGTTCGAGCTCGAGCCACAAGCCAGCGAACATGTTGCGTATAAGAGCGACAGGCGACGAGTAGCAGAGAGAGAGCGCACACAGGTTGCGTAGAAGAGATTTATGTTTGCTGATGTTTGATGGAATTTCGTGATCGCACTAAATTGAGAACCGACTGCAAAGAGCTAAATACCTACTCCAACTGTTTATGCTAAAGAGTACTTTCCGTTTGAGGTATATAAAACTGACAATTGAAGATGTGTAATCAACTTAAGGTATGTTTGTATAATTGAATCAATAGACCTACTCACGCAGGCATTTTCCTTATATTTATTGTCACAAAATCCTATTGGACGCTCGAAGAAATCTAGTTACAGCCATTTGGAGAGCTCAGCTGGCTATTCAATAAAAGTGGCCTAGAGCTCTTTTAATCTAGCATCTCGCTCTGCTTTTCTCTGGCCTCTGGCAGAGTAATTCAATGTAAACCATTCAAAATGAAATCCATTAGAGTTTATATTTCAGTCATAAAACGTTTGGGAGCCAAGCACACGCACATGCACACAGAAGCCCCAGGCTCAATTTAAAACCAGTACAGCTCCACACACACCGACACACACTCACAATAGACCTCACACTTTGCCGGTGCCGTTTGGGCCCGGCTTATCCAAAATATTTGCATAAGATTGAAACTGCATGCAAGGAGCCTTGCCACGCCGCCACGCCCACCCTTCTTAGTGAAATGTTACAAAATGCCAAAGTGCTCTCTCTCTCTCCCTCACCCCTCTCTCTCTCTCTCTCTCTCTCTCTCTCTCTCTCTCTCTCTCTCTCTCTGTCCAGTCAAAGTTTGCTGGCAAGTTTTGCCAAGTGGAGTTCATATTTGAGTTGAGTCGAGTTGAGTTGGGCCTTTGCCTAATTGTATGAAAATAGTTTGTCCTTCAGTTTTGGCTGCCCCACAGCCCAAAGAATCTATGCATGTGTGTGTGTGTGTGTGTGTGTGCTGCAACTGGCAACAGTGGGGCAGAGACACGCTTGTGCACACCTGAACGCCAGCTGCCAGCAGGAGTCCAAGGTGTCAGCGCGAATGCAGCGAAGCGTTCTGGCTTTCGGCCTCAGCGTGAGCTGCACTTGATATATCTCATATATCTCTGTCCCAAGCTGCTTGCCACACTCAGCTCGCTCTGTCTCTTTCACTCGGACTCATCTTTGATCAAATGGCCGCAAGATGCTGGCCCGTGGGCGTGGCCTGCTTGGCCAAGATCAACGCAATGGCGGCAGCAGCAGCTGACCAAGCGCTCGAGTTACGAAACCCGTTTTGAGTCGCGTTGCCTTCGCTGTGATTGGAAGTGGCAAGTGGCAAGCGAGAGCGGCGAGCTGCTACCTGCTGCGGCAGCGAGGCAAGTTTGAGTCGGAGGCACGATCAGAGTCCTTGCGTCATTAAGCCACATAGCGAAACCATTAATAAGGGTTAGAATCCGTCCTAATGGCCAGCACGACGGCGCTAATGAGCCGCAACTGCAGTCGCTGCCCCTGCTCTGCCCCTGCCACAGGCCTGATTAATTTGTGGGAAACTTTGCGGTGCCTCGGGTCAGTGCCACACACACTCGATTGTTATGTTTGAGAAAAATAGGGAGGGAGAGTGACAGAGACAGTCAAAGAGAGACAGCTGACTATTCATTACGCTTATCTCGCAAACCTGCCCCCTCCTGCTCCTCCCCTCCTCCAGGCTCTGTGGCATGCGAATCGCTGCTAAGCGGCTTATGAAAGTCGCCGTCGCTCTGTTGGCACCTTCTGTTTTGTTTAGCCCGGCTGCAGGGCAGCGGCCCTATAAAGTTCTCAATTTAATGCGAGCTCTCATCTCTTTCGCTTTTCCAATAAAATACGATTTTCGATTTCCCAGCATTTGGAAATGCACCTGCAACAAATCGCAGCCGGATCGAGGCGGACGCCACTTCAAAGTGCCGAGTAGTTCACTTTCCAAACATACTTAGCGTAATCTGCGTCGACTTCTAGATAAAACACAGAGACTACAAAAGGAAAGCAGCAACAACAACAACAGCAACAACTGCCAGAGTCACTTGTCGAACAACAACAACAACAAACAAACAACAACTTATGCTAATGGCGCGTACCAAAATAAAAAATAAAAATAAGTAAAAAGGAAAACTCGTGAGTCGAGGAAAACTCCAAGCGGAAAATGCACGCGGCGAGCAATTCATAAAAAATTTACATACATTAGAGCCGAGTGTTAGGGTTCAGAGCGCGGGATCAAGAAGCCCCAATAAAAATTAGAGTGCCGCCAAGCCGACGTCGCGACTCCGGGTAGGGAAAGTCGGAAGAGTCGCGAGAGTGGAAGCGGAACTACCCCCATGAGTAGAGTAAACTCAGCTCGAGCTGCACTCAGCCATAGATCATGAGAGAGCGAGGCGTGTTGAGATCATAAATCATGGATCGCATAATCGATGCCAGTGGAGGCCCGGGGAACACCCACTAGTCGGACTACATTATTCAAATGATCTATTATGGTAAATGGAAGTGCCATAATTGCGGCTCCTTGGGGTCGCGATAAGCTGTTGATCCTGCTGAGCTGCTGGGAGATATCTGAAATAATGGTATTCTGAGCATAATTTATGCACAAGTCTTTATAGCAACAGCTGAGAATTTTAAATAGGTTGAAGGTGTGTTATTTATAAGTACATATAGATATAGGTGGATATGTGAAGACAGAGTTATCAAATGGAAGCTATGATAGGTAGGGATTTATGGGTATATCGAACAATGCAGTCAATTCATACTACATAGATAAAACATTGATATATTCCTCATATGGCACACGAACTAACTAATCTAAATAAATGCTATAAATATATGTTATGTGCCCTCTTCATCGGCTAAATATAGCCCTCGTCTAATCTGTTCAATCTGCACTAAACTTGTACTTTTGATGCATGCATAAACAAAAGTGCTTCAAATCGGGAGAAATGATGAGGTTCTAAAAAGCATTTTCCGTTTTTCACTTTTCATTCAGTCATTCATGACCTGCATATTGCATATTGTCTCTCCCTCTCCGAGTCAAACACACACACAGACTTTCTCTCTCTCTCACTCACTTTCTGTCTGTCTCTTTCTCTGTGTCTGTGTGTGTTTGTGTGAGCAATTTATTACCTGCCATTTACCGTTGCTCATTATTAATTGCATGCAATTAATCAGCTTTACTTGCGTTCAACGGGCCGTATACGCAATCCCCGCCCATTCACACTATTCCCGCCCTCTGGCGGCGAGCTCCTCCCTGCCCGCAGCGCTTGCTGATCTAAAATTCTTGAATGAATTCAATTGCAAATTGTAAATAAACATTGGAAAATTTGGCTCCGCGCTTTAAGGCAGCCAATTTGAGTGTGAAATCGGAAATGTTTTCCCCCCCACCCCACACAGTGTTTTCCTGTCCAAATGTGTCGCTGCAGGACAGCAGGGGGAGGAGAGTGCACCAGGAGTATATCTTACATCACTTCCGCTGGATGAGCTGTCAGCCGGACTCGCTCAGTGCCGCAGGACGTGGCAATAAAACGCATCGTCAGCTGCAGCTCCACTCGCTCGACTCCTGCACACAAGTGTCTCATGTTATTTTCGTATTACAGAAAAAGCTCCCTCTATACCGGTCTATATATATGTGTGTATATTTATACATATATATATAATCTATTTCAAGTTTGACATGGATTACACTGCACTACTCTCCCTTCTCCCTCTCGCAGCAGGCGCCTTGTCCGTTTGTCTTTTACTCAATAAAACTTTTTGATTTCCGCTCGAATGGACAAAACTTTTTAATGCGAATCTTCCGGCTGGGTCGCAGTCGCAGTCGCCGTCGTCGTCGACGTCGACGTTGCCGATGCATCGATATAAAAGCGAAAACGATAGAAAGAAATCAAATCAAATTAAATTGAATCGAGTCAAGGCAAAAATACATTCAAATGTCGAATTGGGCAAGAGGAAGGCAACGTGAAAGAGAGAGAGAGAGGGAGAGAGCAACACCTGCCCTGCACAGCCCAAGCCAATGGCAATTCCTGATGATGCAAATACCACTTTAATTCAATTGGATTAGGTGTCCATTGCAATACACGCGAATCGACAACAACAACAACAATAAGAGAAACAACAGCTGGACTTGGCTCGACTTGCTGGCATTCATAGAGGCAGGGGCAGAGGCAGAGGCAGAGGCAGAGGCAGAGGCAGAGACTTGACTTGGCTAGGTGTTTGCATATCGTGGGGCTTCCGCGGCGGCATTTGACTTAATACGATATTAATGCAACCTCCATTAGCAGCCACGCCCACACACCCAGACGCCCACACACAGAGCTCGGTGCAGCTATTCAGCAGAGCAACAACAAAACAACTCGGCGAATGCCGATGAATGAGCGCAATGGATAAGTGAAATGAGTGACTGAATGTGAATACGGGAGGGAGTGAGTGAATGAGTGAATGAATGCCCAACATGCTCAGAGTGCAAAAATAATGCATTAGCGTAATTAACTGGCAAAAGGACAAAGCAAATATGGGCCAAGGAATAAGAGCTGACGTCCTTGCTTGCTTTTGCTTGCCTTGGCTTAGGGTCTAATGAGTGTGCACTTCAGTTAAGTCAGCTATGGGAAACGTTAGTTCAATCTTGGAAGACTGCAGCTCCATCAATAGATCAACTTCGGTCTCTTCCTTCAATTGGTCTAACCCAAAAAAACAAATATTCCTAGCTTCAGGCCTGAGCAATTTCTTAAAGTACTAAAGCTGAGCTAGAACCAATTAGAGCAATACTGTTTCCAGCAGCCCTAACAATTAAGAGGGCTCGACCAGGAACAGTGGGAAGTGAGCGGGATTAAAGAGGAGCTCGTGACCGATGACAGCGAAATGGAAGCTGCGCTCGTGCCAAAGCGTTGCAGTGGCAAACTTGAAATTTCGTTTGGGGGAAGTTGAAATGAAACTGAAACCAAGAGGCAGAGAGAGAGAGGAAAGGAGAGGGAGATAGTAGATAGAGGGCATGGACCGGAAGAAATACGCAGAGCATTAAAGCAAAGCGTCGCAGCGAGCAGCTGCTGGAATCTGATAGGAAGCGCAAGTAGCGCTAAGGAGCTCATCATCTCCAGCCATATCCGGCTGGCAGGAGGAGGCGGCGGCGCTTAGAAGCGGGCAATAAGCGATATACGATGCGATAACGAGTTGAAGTTGATGTGTCGAGACGAGAGCTAAATGGAAAGTGGGAAGAGGGAAGCGAGCGAGAGATGGCGAGAGGGAGAGGGGAATGGAGAGCTGGGACGAGGCGTGCGCATCTTTGGATTGAGCTGATTGCAGGCAGACTCGGCACCAGGCTGCACTTGCAGGATACGGGATGAACGTAGCCAGCCGAATTACATGAGCCAAGTGCTATTCGTGCTGTTGTCGCACTGTCTTAAGTTGTTTTGTTGCATGTGCTAATGGCAGCGAGCTGCGAGCTGCGAGCTGCCAGCTGCCACACAGCCCTGTGTCGCTGTGGCACGTACAACTGGCTCGAGCTGTTTGCCCGCACTTTGTCAGCGAGCGTGTTAACAAACTGATTGAGTGCAGCTTTCGCTGATGTCTGCCCACCCAAGCAGCAGCTGCCAATTAAAGCGATTTATACTTGTATATCTGCTGTAATGGAGCTGTTGCTTCAATTAGTTGAAAGTGATTTGGGATTAAGCTAGTCTCTCAGACGATGCCACAGATTGGCTCAGCTGTTGGCATTTGTTGAGCTTGGCCTAGGCAACTTTTAATTGAATTGCTCTCTTGCAGGAGGCAAAATGTCCTGCTGGCTCATTTATGACGAACTTGAGCCAGAGAGAATCAAAGTCAATTGTCTGTCATCGTTCCCCAGGATTCATATGAACAACTTTTAAGCCTTTGCTCTAATCTGAGCATAACAAATTTCAATTTGAGCAAACTTTGTTCACTTCAACTTCACTTCATTAGAGGCCATTCCTTGATCATCTCAGTGGCATGCCGAGGCGTACTCGAATCGAATTTGTTTTCTCCTTCCTGAATTTATGGCTTTCCTCTGTCAATGCCTTGCATCCTTTTACTTTTCACTGCAAATTGACAATTGGACTCGCACACGAATCAAACGCACGTGCAAAATGTTTTTAGTTTTATTGAATGTGGTTTGTGTGCCCCGTTGCCGTTGCCGTTGCCGTTGGCGTGCCCCTACCTCTACCCCTAGCCCCGCCTCTACCTCTACCTCTACCGTCTGCCCTGCAGCAAGTAGTGCAAAAGTGTGCATGCATATTCCGAGGATAAACTATGGCATCTGCTGCAGCGCAGCACGCGCATCCTTTGTGCAAACACACAAACAAAGAAACTCGCGCGTGTGTGTGTGTGCTTGTGTGTGCACACATGTTGCCCCGGCAGGAAGCGCACTGATTGAGGAGCAATCGCTCGTTGCCGGGACAGATGTTTTTCTACATTAAACAGCCGCTCGCCTTCAGTGCCCTCGGTTCCTTCAGCGCCCTCAGCTCCTGCCCCTTCGACGGCGAGGCGCGTGCGCAGCGACCAAAAGGAAACAAGAAGAAGAACAGAGCGAGAGAGATAGAGAGAGAGAGAAATCGGAAGTGCTGCTCGGGGCCCACACAATGGGAGCGAGCGACCTTTGTGCAGCGACAGACGCCGAGGTTAAATGTCTGCGAGATTCGGGATTTATTGTTCCGTTTGCCTGCAATACGATCGTTGTTTTATATCAATTATTTCGGGTGAGCAGCACATCCTTGACAAGTGCCAGAGCGCAGGAATGTGGGGCAAGTAGATGTAGTTGAACCTCACAAAATTGAAAGTTGAAGATCAAACGGAATTAGTAGCGTTTCTAAGGGAAGGAAAAGGAAAGTACGAGCATCTTAAGGAAGCACTAAAGAGCGGTGCCTATTATGATTATTATTATGTGATCAAATCAAGCTCATCTCTGCTCCGCTCTCCTCCTTTGTCTTAGGTCCAACACCTATTTGCCGTAGGTTGAGCTAAAGAATTCCGATTAGCTGCGATTTATATGTTAGTCTGATGTTTCTAGTACGAAGAGTGAGTTCATATAAGTTATAATAATGGACGTAATCCTTTTCCTCATTTTCGCCTCCCATATATGGCCACACAAGTTAAGCCAACTTAGCTTTACAGCCCCTCCTAGTGTCCATAATAGCTGAATCCAAACAAGATTTGAATCTGTTTCCATTTTCGTGTGCAATCAAAATTTTAATTGCAAAGCAAAATATTTGTTTGTTGAATCTTTATTTGAATTTATATTTGGCAAATTTTCATTAGCTGCAGCTGCAGTTGCAATCTGTGGCAACTGGCGGTCAGTGGACTGTTAACACCCAGATAAGTCCACACGCTGGTCAGGTAATTAGATTTTAGTGCCAAGCTCGGCAGTTTGTATGGCCAGGTAAACACACACAGTGAGAGAGAGAGAGATAGAGAGAGAGAGATAGAGAGTGAGAGGTTTCTTTCTTGCTTTTTGGGTTTCTCATTAGGGCAACACTGAAAATATGAGCCTGGGCAGTGGGAACAGCCACAGCCACAGCCACAGCCACAGCGCTATCGGCCACATAACAAGCTGCCAGCCAGCGAGCTGACCTCATAAATTCTCGACAGCTCGGCGAAGCCAAGGATGGCCCAGGGCAGTAGATGGCAGGGCGGGAGAGGGCATGGCTCAGAGCGGGGTCAGACAGCCAACGAGTTTCAATTAAATTTTCAACTTACAAATCAATAAAGCAACCTTTACAACGCAATTCATATAACGCACACACACACACATACACCCATACTTGCACGTACACATATGGGGCAGCTGCTGGTCTGAAGGAAGCAGCGAATGGTGCTTCGGGCAGCGGGCAGGAGTCGTGGCATTGAAGCCTTCGCCGTGTGCAACTCGACACCGGAACAAGTGGCGGACGCGACTGCCGAGAGGCGGAGGAGCAGGCGAGTAGAGGAGGGGCAGGGGACGAGGTCATGGGGCAAGCAGTGCACGTGGATTGCTTTTGTTGTTGTTGTGTGTGTGTTTGTGTGTGTAGGCCAAATGAACCGGCGTGTATAAATGTGTTTAAAAACATTTGCTGGCATTAACGGGTCAGAGGCACGCGCAGGAGTCGCTGCAGGAGCAGTGGCAGGATACGGGAGCAGCAGCAGCAGGAGTAGCAGCATAACAACAACAAGTCAGCAATATGGACAATGAGCGCAACATCCTGTGGCGGTGCGCGGCATTAATTGGTTCAGTGATTCCAAACGACCAGCGACTCGCAGCGACAACAACAGCGGAATTAAGGACACGCAGCGCCAGTTGAACCTGTCCACCGCAGAGTCAGAGCTTAAGCCAGAGCAGGAGCAATGAAGCACACTTGCCATGTCGAGTTGATAGTCACATTTGTCGGAGCAGGAGCAGCAGCAGGAGCAGAGAGTAGGGGAAGAGTGTGTGCAGCTGCTCAGGCAGGGATAGACGAGATAGACTTAACTGGCGGAAAATGATATTACAGGCGCATAACTCGTGCCATCTATAAGAACAAGAGCAGGCCAGGATGCAGGATGCCTGCAGTGGCAGATGAAAGCGGGCAAATCTCATTAAAAACTGAATCGAAATGGTAATTTGAGTTGTTCACAAACAGCGTTAGATACTTGGCAAACAGAAACGCAGCGATTGCGATTGAGATTGCGTTTGAGCTGATACCAGAAGGAGTCGTCTCAGTCTGAGTCTCTGTGAGTGTGTGTGCATGTGTGTGCGCGTCAAGGATTTTGTTTGCCAAGTTGTCTACCAATAGCAGCCGCCAGCTAGAGGCCAAAAGATGCTGCCACAGCATCGACAGCAGCAGCAGGAGTATCGGAGGGGATCACAAACAGGACGCAAGGTGTGATTTTTCTGCTTCTTCTCCTATTCGTCTCGTTTGTTTTTGTTTGATGGTTTCAAATTGTGGGCAGGTGGTTTCACTCACTCATTCACTGTGTGTGTGTGTGTGTGTGTGACTGTAGCAGGGGTTGCGCGGCGCCTGCCAGATTCTGATTCTGATTTTGATTCTGATTTTAATCAGCAATCAACAGCAGCTCGCATGGGGGGAATTCATTATAATCTGGCATTAGATAGATTATGTTAAATAGATTATGAAAAATTGCATTTAAATGAACTCGCTTATTAATTGAACTGAACTGAGTGTGTGCAGCTGTGTATGTGTGTGGGTGTGTTTGTGTGTGACCCGACAGCGATGCATTGAATGATTGATGCTGCGCTGCAATCAATTTAATTTAAATGCAACATTTGTTCAATTAGCGAAATGCAACGAGAACGTGTAAGGGAAATGCCATAAATAACAGTTCAGTCGTGAAAACACCTGTAATTAAAATTATTTATATTCAGCTTTCTTTCATTTAAGTTTAAATATAAATTCACTTCTGACAGCAGATGAGAAATGCGAATTAGTCTGTTATTTGAAAACGGAGTGATGAAGAAGAAGAGAAGAAAGGTAATATGGTATGGTAGAGTAAAGTAAAGAGCCTAGCATATAACAGCGCTCGTGCAGAGAACATAACGATGAGTAACAGCCCAGCAAGCATTTTTGCGTTTAACAGAGCATAAGTTAGTCTTAAAAGACTCGCGCGATGATTGAAAACAGTCATATGTGCGCTCATTTTCTGATCAKAAAAGACTGTTCTGTCGGGAGAAAATGGTACCCTACCCGCGACTCTTCTTGATGAGTCGCTTATGACTCTTGTTTTTAATCATAAAAGAGTCTTCCACGAATCATCTTTTAATCATAAAAGAGTCTTCCACGAGTCATAATTTAATCATTTTTTGACTCATATTCGATTGAAATTTTCAATAATTTGCAATGAAAAGAATTTTTTTTCTTGATATAAGTTTCATTTAATATNCCAAGCGAGCAGAATATGATTGCATAGGAACAAAGCAAAACCAAGCAATGATCATATTTTAATCACCTGCATGCTCATTTGGCGATTGCTTTGCATTTCGTTTTTGTATTTTAAAGTAATCATACTTTGAGCATATGGAAGGGTCATTTATGAGTCTTCTTTCGATMGCCCGGGAGATTMGTCGTTTTTTAATCGTCAAGGGGACTCAAAGAAGACTCATCAAGACGATTTCTGTTAAAACAGTCTTCCAAATGCTTGCTGGGAGAATACTGTAGAGCTAACATAGAGGAGTCCGAGTGCATTGAATACCAAATCATAACAAAGTTAACATGGGTATTAATTACACTTTGACAGTGATTACATAGCAGAGCTTGGCAAACAGTGCAATTAGCATAGAACAGCTCGGTGAGAAGAAAGTTAGCATACACATGGAGAACAGTTCGATTACTACACAGTAGCAAAACTTAACAGAGGCTTGATGAGTAGCAGTGCTTACATAGCAACAACTCAAAACGTAGCAAAGTTATAGAACAGCTCAACTACTACATACACAGTGCAATTCAATATGTAGCAAAGTTGAGCAGTGGCTACGCAGAGTGAGCGGCGTGATGAGTAGCAAAGTTTATTGGGAACAGTTCAGTTGCATAGAACAGCTCAATGAGGAACAACATAGGAAAGTTAGAACAGCTCGGCTAGGCATTGTAATTTAATATGTAGCACAGCATGTTTGGTCATGTTTGCATAGGAACAGCTGTTTCTTTGTGCAGCCAAGTATAAAACATACAATTGTACATACATATGTATGTATGTACATTTGTATGTATTTACAAATGGGAGCAGCATTCGTAGAAAGTTGTTTGCCAACCCTAAGCTAAGCTCATGAAATATTTGAAATTGCATTTGAATTGCGCTGAAATGAATTTGCATAAGCATAACTGTTGTTAAATATGCGTTTGATATTTGACAAATTTTAATTAATTTTAATTTCGCCTGCAATTCGCCCAAGCGTCATTTCAATTTACAACTGTCAACAAAATAAAACAAAGCAAAACAGAAAACAGTAAACAGAAAACAGAAAAAAAAACACACACACGCACGAGTTGAGCTTGCAGCGTTTGGAACGTATGCGAATGGAAATGCATATTTGCAACAGGATGCGGCAATTACATTGTTTGTGGCAACAGCAACAGTAGCAGTAGCAACAACAACAACAGCAGCAGCAGCAATAATAATGTTTTTTCACTCTGTGGGTTTTGTTTGATAGAAGTTTACAATAATTTTTGTGTTACGCCTTTGTTAGCTAATGTTGGCTTTGTATCAATTTGTTGTATATTAAATTTGTATATTGTTGTACATGCACATACACATGCATATGTATTTGCTACAATTACAGATAGTTTATGCAACAAATATTGTTAAGTTCGCTCAATATGCTTCAGAGAAGTTAAAGGTTGCTGAGGAAAAAGTCTTATTAGTTTCACATGAAAATCTGAGCAGCTAACACCTGCTGATGAGTGTTGGCTCGGCTTCATCCCTTCTCATATCACAGCTAACTTGGCTTAATGTGCTGCACAATTCCCTTACATTTTCAGCGCTGTTCTGAGGTTAAGCCCAATCAATATTTGCATTCTGGCGCATTATTCAAATGAGTTTGAGAACTTTTTGCGACTGGCTCGAGCTAATGTGAGTGCGAAGGCTTAGCGCTGCTGGGACTTGTCTAAGCTGCTTGTAATTGCCTTCCATTAGGCAGCTAATTTTGTTGGCAGTAATTAGCATGCTGCCTACCCCTCTCCCCTCCCCCTTCATATTGTGTAACACAGGTGAATCGCTTGTACTTAGCATAAACAACATTTCCCTGCTGCTCAGCTTCTTCGTGTTGTTGGTCTGACTGCTTACTCAAAATTGATTTTGACACCAAAAAGTTTGCTCGCAAAGTTTCGGCAACTTGTAAAAGAGCTGGAAAACTTTCAGCGAAATGGACGCCATTACAAGGCAATGGAAATGCACATAAACTAGGAAAAAAGAGGCAGACAGACAGAGAGGGCGGGAGGAGTTAAGCTGAACAAAATAAATAAGAAGCAGAGCATTAAACATGAAGAGCTGCTTGCAAATGTAACTAACATGGTGGGGGTGCAGAGGAAGGGGGAGGGGCACTGAGACACGCCCCCAACAGAAGAAATGGCAAACTTTTGTGCAGATTACATGCGCATTACCAAGTCCAAGTGGCAGCACGAAGACCGTGAGGAATTATGCGAGTACAGATGCCAAAAGGTCGCACCGTACAGGTGGAACCCAGAAACAGAAACAGAAACAGAGGCAGAGAAAGAGAATGAGACAGGGAAAGAGACGGGGAGAACTTGAAGTGTGCCAAGTGGTCGCGACCTGTGCAACATGGCGAATGCACTTTGAAATTGATGTTGATGTTGATGCTCATGTTGATGGGCAGGCGCCAGCAGGTGGGCAGCCCAGTGGTGGCGACAGACGGACGGAGAGGTAGACCAACACACTGCCTGCCTGCTAGCCGCAAATTGATGGCCAAGACAAGCGATGGGCAAACGTGGCCACGCGGCGTATGCGCAACGTGTGCACTTTCATTGAAAAAAGCGAAGCAGAAGAAGAGGAGAACTTGACTAAGTTATGGGACAGGCAGTGTGCAGCATGCACCATGTGAGGCAGCAATCAATTGCTGCACAAAATGTCAATAAACAATTCGAGGAAAATGAACTGCGACGCAGGCAGCGCTCAAGGAAAACCGAGCAAAAAACAGGCGGAAAATCGTTGCGAAAAGGACACTTAAAACGCAATTCCGTTAAACGCAGAAAGGGCAAGCATTTAGGGCGTGGCCAGAGCAAAGGGAGTGGGAAGGGGTGGGGCGGTACGGTGGCTGGCATTACGGTAATTG